AAGACCATCTATGTAAAAGAGCGTCTAGAAACATAAGACACAAGGGAAATAGAACAGTAATAGGACCACTCAATATATAGGCACAGACTCCTCGTGGACAGACACCTCCTGTTCCACGTACCTGGAGATAGGTTTACTTTTTGTGGACTAAATTGTTGTTGCAAGGTGCAGTACAGTCTATTCCAACTCATAGTGACCCTACGGACAACAGAGTGAAACCCTGCCTGGTCCTTTACCCTCTGGACAAGTGTCATATTGTTTGAGCCCATTGTTGCAGTCACTGTGGCAAGTCCATCTTACCTGGGAGAGCTAAGCTTTCAGGCCCCAGTAACTAACACAAGTGGAATCAGGCACAACAGGGCTGCCTGCTCCAACACAAGCAAAGAAGAATCGTAGAAGCTGAGTCAATTGAAAGTGTCTGAGCAGAGCCAGTGCTTCACAGGAGTGAACTGGTGCTTCACAGGAGTGAACTGGTTATGCGTCATCCAGATCTCCCGAATGGAGGTTGAATATGAGCAGCCTCTGAAAAGACTGGTTTCTTTGCCAGGTTACTCATTTCCACTTCACAGTCAAATTCCCTTCTAGGAACTGGAAGGTTTTATCTCTACTTGAGAACTTCCTCATGTTTGAGATGAAGGTCATGTAGGGACACTTGGAAAATCCAGCCAAAAATAGTTGAGGGCAAAGTTGGCCATTCATTCACTCTTCAAACCTGTCTCCACCCATCCCTCCCCACCTCCCTCTAGAATTAATACAGTCCAACTTCACACAGTGTTGTAAATTATCAGCATAATATTGTAGCCACTATATAAAAGGGAAAGTGTGTGTTTCTAAACGTAACACCACCTTCTTACACTTCGCTACTCTCTTTCCATTCCTGGGGCAAAATTTGCCTAGATCCACAGCCAAGGGAGTGGTCGTGGGAGGGCGTTCCTTGATGCTGGAGAGGGCTTTGCCATCTCAAAAACACCTTTACCGATGTTGGTAAGGAGTTGTGCTTGTTTCTCAAGGCCCTACACTCCGCAGGCACGTGTTCTATGCAGGTGATGAAGATCTGCGAACCACGCTTGCTTGAAACAGCACCACTGTGAAAAAATCACTGTCCTTGCAGGATTTCAGTTGGACTTTTAGCAAATTCCAACATGGGCCAGGATATTTTTTCCAAGTCTGTGCTTCAGAAAGAGGAAGGATACCCCAAAAGGCTGGTGCTTCAGAAAGAGGAAGGATACCCCAAAAGGCTGTTCCGTGCTTCAGAACTCTCATTTGTTCTCCATGACTCTGCCAGATTCCTCCCTGTTCTTATGACTTCATCCCCCACGGCTATTGACTCTGCAGGGCTCAGTCCTATTAATCAGGCCACTGGGCAGGTCCAGACAGCCTGTGGTTTTCCAGAGCTCAGCATCCTGTTTGCACAGACAAGGAATGGCCCTGCTCTGCCTCCCTTCATGCTCGCCTACGCAGATAGCAGAACCCTCCCTGGTCTCCAAACCCTCTCCTCTGATCTTGACTGTTGATTTCTATAATCTTTCTCACTTGGCATCTCTTTCCACTCGCTTTGTGTCTCCAAACACTCCTCTTTCTATGCCTTACAGACCCTTTATTTAGATCCAAGTTTCAGCACAAAAATATTTTGAAAAGGCTTGTTTCTTATCAATTTTTTTGCAGAACCAGAAGGCAGGGTAAATTATGTGAAATCTGTGTGTGCTGGTTGAACTGAAGGCTGTAAAATTAGGTGGCCTGCGTGGGGGCTGGTCAGCCAGGGGATGGCAGAGTTTGACCAGTAACTCCACAAGGGGAAGAATCCCATTAAGAACATCAAGGGCATAAAACGGAATCCCTTGAGGTCATGTTACTGAACGCAAGGGGTTCTTTCATAGTCGATTACCAATAAGACAAACGGATTGCAATAACCATAAGCACTTTATTACAGATCTGTGGAGGACAGTGGGTCAGCCTCAAAGACGGCCTCCCCAACTGGGAGAGGTCACCAGCCTTTTATGATAAAATAAAAAAAATTTCTATATCTGAAAGAAAACCATTCACACCCAGATACTCCCTTTCCCCAGGAAACAGGCAGATTAAGTTACAATTTACATATGATTGGGTCCAACAGCTAATCTAGGAGATGCATATCCTCTTCCATAAACAGACAGATTAAAGAAAGGATACTAAGAATTCTAAGGTCAAGCAATTAGCCTTTCAGGCTGGAGAAAACTGCTGCCAGTTTTATAACTATAGTTCCATAACTGATACATAAATAGAGAATTCTAAACTTATCAATACCACCCCATCATTCAGACATGCCCCCTGTGCCTGAGCCTTTTCCTGTCATTCTAATACCACCCATCCCTCCCCCAGTTCTCACAGCTTCATTCCTCCCTTTCCTAATCAATTGGCAATGGCCACACAGAGTTCACAGACAATACTCATGACTGCTAGGGAAGTAATCAGTTGTAATTCAAGTTGAAAACACTAAGGTTCTAATTCTATAGTCATTAAAGCCTCTTCTCGGGTAAACTGGCCTCCCTTAACCTTCAGCCTCAGTGTGCATGGGGGGGGGCAGCTTTACAAAGCTCTCTTGTTGTTGTTCTGTCACATCTCTGAGAGAGTCAATCATGTGGGAGGGATTCCCAGATCACCCAGCTTTCTCCATTGGAGCAGCTGGTGGATTCAATCTGCATGCCTTTGGATTAGTAGTGCATCTCCCTACCACTAAGCCACTAAGGTCCCTTTGGTTTTGTGTGCCTTCAAGTCAGATATGAATCATAACTGACCCTCCAGTAGATTTTCAGAGGCAGTAAATTGCACAGGAGGAGATTCCCTCCTTTTCCTTTTCCCTCTGATGGATTTGAAGCATGTGCCTTTACAATTGTAGCACAGTTTCTTACCACTTACCAAGTATGTGTGCCACTCCTCCCCGCCACTCTCCACCACCCTACTTCACCAGTAAATGCTGAACCTGGCTCCGTGAGTCTGCAGTTCCAGTTCAGCTCTGTCTTCCATTAGTTTTTGGGTCTCTGCCACTTCTGCTACTGCCAGTCTTACTCTGTCTCTTGCCAGAATCTCTGGCCCAAAGTATGTACTGCACTATACTTGTTCCTCTTGATGACCATAAGTCAGAACCAATCCACAGTTGACCCTCTAGTGGGTTTTCTAAGGTGGTAAATTGCACAGGAGATTGCCCATCTTTCTCCCACAGAGTGGTCAGTAGATTTGAACCATGTATTTTTATGCTTGCAGGACAATTTTTTACCACTAACCTTTTTTGCTGGTAGTGAGCACCCTTCTTGATGGTAGTGAGATTCTTTTTTTCTGGCAGTAAGATTCTTGTTTTCAGCCTCAGAATCTGTTCGATTTAAACAAATCTCTCTTAAAAGAAGTGCAGTCAGAACATTCCTTAGAAGCAAGGATAGTGAGACTTCATCTCACATCCTGTATGCGTGCTATAGGGGCCAGTCCTTGGAGAAGGACATCATGCCTAGTGTCACAGTTATGTTGTGCTTCAATAAGAGAGAGTCCACAAACCAATGGCTTTAACAGTTAATGCTGTAATTCTCTCACAGTTTAGAAGGGTACAAGTCCAATCTGAGATGCCAGCTCTAAATGAAGGCTTTCTCTAACTCTGGAAGAAAGGTCATGTTTCTTCTGGTTTTGTAGGCCCAGAGACCCTTAACAGTCTCCACAGGTCTTGGCCCTCCTTTGTTTCAAGGAGCTTCCTGCAACAGAGACCTGGACGTGCTCCACTTCTAGGGACTCTGTGTGTGTGTGTGATTTTTCACACATTTTACTGTGAGGTTTGTGCACGTTTTCCTCCCTCCCCTCTTCTTTCATGATGGTGCCGAGGTCCCTCCTTCTCTACTTATTTTCTTCCCTTTGTCTCTCTAATGAAACAAGAGATGTTCCAGGCCACACTCTAGGATAATGCTCCTTCTATTGAGTCTGAGCTGTGTTGCATTTCACCCTTAATCCTCTTGCAACTGTTTGTTTGATCAGATCATGGGGGTCATTACATACATGCTGGGGGGGGGGTTGGTAAGGGCACACACATAATTCCATTCATGACACTGGTAGAGGGTCAGAAAAATATTTCAATGAGAGGGACTGGCAAGGTGACTGGGAAAACAGTAAAGATTGACGAATGGCACAGGATTGGGCATTGGGAGCAATGTTGTTGTTGTTATGTGTCATTGAGTCAGAACCAGGCCACAGCTGACCCTCCATTGTGTTTTCAGAGTCTGTAAACCACTTGAGAGGAGATTGTTCATCTTTCTCCCACAAAGCTGCTGGCGGATTGGAACCCACCAACAGTACAACTCCCTACCAGAATTCCCTATAATTCTGTTTAGGTTAAGATTTCACCAGTTGTCACTAATATATTTTTCAGGATCAAAATAAGGCCCACACGCTGCAATGGATCATTATGCTAAGTATCTTCTAATCCAGAGCAGTCTTCTTCCCCAGCCAAAACCTACTTTTCTTAAGACTTCTTTAATTCTAAAGAAATGGGGTCAGCTGTGCTATGGGATGACCTTCATACCGAATGGTATTGTTTCTTTACCCGGTATCCCCTGATGTCCGGTAATTTTGAAGGCAGTCTTAATAAAAGCTCTAATTTTAATCAGGTGCAACATTTGTGGCAAGAAAATGATCTATATTTCCTATCTTATCAGAATGGTAAGCACATAATGACAGGTTGCCCCATTTTTTTCATCCCAAGCTGAAATGGTTTCTTTAGTTTTTGCAGCATCATCTTGTCATTGTCAAGTTCCCATCAAAACCCCCAATGGTTTAAGGGTTGTGAAGTACTATGTTTTAATTCATTCCATCTAAATTTATTAGCTAGTATTTTACTTCTGGAAAAAGCCTTCTAAAGCACAGTTCTGCTCTGACAAGGAGTCACAATGAGTTATGTATGCTTCAATAGTGGTGGCAGGGGATTCTTCTGTAAATAATTTACTATAATAATTCCTCCTTTCTCCCCATCTTACTTTCTCCACTAGTGTATACATTGCTCACCAAGGAAAAGACCTTCAAGGCTATTATACAGGGCAGTTGGCAAGAGTCCATTTTGATCATGGTGTGAAGAGACCTCCCAGGTGAGAGAGATACATTCTTGTATCTCAAGTTCAAAGAATTTTATCATTTAGAATGGGAACAAAAGGATACATCTGAAGTGTGCAAATACATAGGAACCAAAGTTTCATCAATGTTTACATGGATAGGTGGGAGGGAGATTTGACAAAGTATTGCTTGAGGGATACTGAGTTTCTGTTGGTGGTGATGAAGAATTTAGAAGTGAATCATGTTGTTGGTTGTATAGCATGGGAAACATAAATAAGGGTACTGAGTCATATGTGAAAAGATGTGGGAAATGTTTTACTACATTTATTTTACTATAATTAAAAAGTTATAAAAGATGGCATTAAAATTTGTAATTATAATGAACAGAAAAAAGTTAGAAGGAAACACATAAACAATGACTTTTTTTTTAAATGGTGAGATTATTTTGCATTTTGTATTTTTCATCCTTTACTTTTCAGTTTAGCATATATAATTAGCATATATCTCTTTTACACCAAGCATTGGATTTTATATAATTATTAGAGAAAGCTGAGAGACATCATGAACTTAGTGTTTCAACTTGAGTAAATAACCACTTTCCAGAGATTCCATTTCCTTCTCAGTTAAACTGTGAGTTTAACTTCCACGATTCCTGACTTTCCAGCATTCTTATGTTATTTTCTAGCATGGGGAGTCTGGAAACCACACTAGTTAAAAGCGGCAATTTTAGTAACTAAATAAATGCTTGATCCTTGAGCAAGTCACATTCCTTCATTGAACATCAGCTGCATTATTATCTTTTAAAGAAGTGATGTAAAAGTCCAGAATACAGTAATTACTCAACTCAATCATTGCTAATATTTTTCTAATTCTCTGCTGTCTGTTGACTTTGATATAGCCAATTCTTAGTTATCTTTCAGAGGCAACAACATCTGTGGTTTAAAGCAACATAGAATCTGAACTCGTTCCCTGTGTGGTCGTTGGGTACCATCAAATCTATTTCAATCCCATGTGGCAATGTGGGATTAGGGCAATAGGGTTTTCTGGGCTGTGATCTTTTTGGAAGCTGATGATCACTTTGTTCTGTGGAATTGCTGCATGGGCTTGAGCCAGTTCTTTCAGTTATGTTGTTCATGTCAGGGGCATCAAGTTGAGTATGACTCATAGTCACCCAATGAACAACAGATGCTCGATATCTCTGACTTACTCAAGCCTGTGGTTGCAGTCACTGTGACACTTCATCTGGTTGAGTGTTTTCTTCTGACCCTCCACTTTCCAAGTATGATATCCCCCTCCAAGGAATAGCCCTTCCTAACAACATACCCAAAATAAATGAAACTAAGCTTTGTCATCCTTGCCTTCAAGGAGCACTTTAGTACTGGAATATTGTACCACCCAAGACTCCTTATTAGTTATTAGGTCTACCCACTCCACATTTATCAACAAGATGAAGTTATGAGGACCAGGTCATTATGCAAAATCAGTCTTACATGGAAAAGCATGGTGACCACATCAGATCACAAAATGGAAGGTGACAACATCATTATACAACTAATAAATACATCACTTCATGACTGCCAAACCATTGAGAACCACAACCTGGAGAGACCTGACTCATAACCAAACCACTGCAGCCAGTATCTCTCACCTCACACCTCAAGGTGAAGAAATGTAGCCCAGAGACATAAGCATCTCGCTTGAGGGCACACAATGGATGTCACTGCTGAGATTTGAATCTATACATGTTATCAGACTCCCAGTTAAAATTCTTTGTTCTAATTCAACTATATCCTCATATTAAACTTTGATTAGAGCTATGCCATGTCAATTGACCAGAGTTTATTCAGCTTCTAGTTAAAAAACCTTAAACAAACACAGGAGACAATGTAGCAATGTTCCTAAAGGCACACAGTTTGAATCCACCAGTTGCTCCAAGGGAGAAGGATGAGCAGTCTCCCCATTTGTGATTTACTGTCTCTGAAAACCTGCTGGAGGGTCAGCAATTGGTTGGTTTTAATTTGACGGTGAACAACAACAACAAAAACAAGTTATGCAATCAGCGGGAAGAGAGTCAGGAAATGATATGGTTGGTGTCTTACTTTCCTCAGATTTATGGCACCAATCAACTTGACAACTTTAAAGTTCCTCCTGAAGGTGAAGTGAAGGTCCTTCAGAAGGACACCGATGTAGTCTTTGAAAAAGGAGACAATTCTGGTTCTCTGCAAAGGCAGAGGCTGCTTGGTGGGGTGGAGCGGCCACCAGAATCTGGTTCAGAAGTCAGCACTCCAGTACACAGGACCCACACTCACAGGACACACTGACCAGAAAGCTAATGTTTTCTTGACAACAGGAGACTTAAATTTTTTAGTGAAAAATATTTCCAACAATTCCCCAGAATGTGGCACCTGTTGAGGATGAAATAAGAACAGGAGGGCATGGGGATTATCAGTGCTGCTTCGTGCCTGTCCCCGTCAGAACACCCTTTCTGCCCAACCAGCCTCTTTCCCATCACACTGAATGCACATTTCAAATTCTCTTCTTTACTCTTTCTGAAGTTTAGGCACAGCCACACAATTTCTGACAATACTTTCTCTACATAAAGACATACAACAATTTTTTAAAGCTATGATACAAATAACCCAGTACATAAAATTCATTACAAGTAAGCATTTTTATCATCTCATATAAGATTAGGGCATGATGATTCTCAGATGCTTTGATTGGATTGAATATTCTTCTGGTTAGGGGTGTAATGCCCTATTGACTACACCAGCAGAGCTGGCTTAAAGTGAATCTTTTTAGAACTCAGTCAGTATTAACTAATGATCACATCTATAACCTTTATCTTGATTTTTTGTTTTATTTTTATTTACTCATCTTAACTTCTAAACATTTTGTTAGGTAAGTTGTGCCAAGAAATCTGGAGGACAGCCAGCTTGCCAACTGACTGGAAAAGATCGATATTTGTTACCATTCCAAAGAAAGGTGACCCAACAGTGTGGAAATTATCGAACAATATCATTAATATCACATGCAAGCAAGATTCTGCTGAAAATTATTCAAAAACGATTGGAGCAATATGTCAGCAGAGAACTGCCAGATGTACAGGCTGGATTTAGAAGAGGTCATGGTACTAGGGATAGTACAGCTAATGTTAGATGGGTCTTGGCAGAAAGCAGAAAATACTAGAAGAATGTCTATCTGTGTTTCATTGATTATGCAAAGGCATTTGACTGTGTGGATCATCAACAAGCTATGGCTGACTCTTAGAAGAATGGGAATCCCAGAACATTTGATTGTGCTAATGCAAAACCTATACTTGGACCAAGAGGCAGTCATCAGAACAGAGCAGGGAGACACTGGATGGTTCAAAATCAAGAATAGG